GTAGAAAGAGCCCTACCCATATACCACCACTACCTCGACCACACCGCCTCCCAACAGTTCAGGGACTTCCGCAGGGATTTCTTGGGAATAAAACAGATGCTTCAACAGACCGGGGCCTTCAAATCGCACCTGGTAGCTGCGCCGACGCGCCAGCCAGAATTACTCCGCTTTCTACAATGTACAGTCGGGAGCGCATGGCAGCCTTAAAAAAAAAACGGTACACCCTAGCCCTGAACCCAAAACCACAAGTCCCCAGCAAAGCAAGACACTATCTGGGAGGGCCATGCTCAGCTTTCCCCGGCTGTGCAGAAGCTGCTCCTGGAACAAGGGCCGGGTCTTGTGCTTCTGTAGGGGAGGGGGCTTGTAGGGTCAAGAGTTCGGGTATAGGGTTGATCTACGCAAGGTCTTCTGAGGGTCAAGAGTTGTTTTGTCTGTGGGTTTTGTGGATTCCTGGGTTCGGCTTTCAGGGTTTGGTGTTTGGGATGTGTCAGAGTGCCACGGCGCGACGTGCTGCGGCACTCAGCTGGAGCAACAGCCGGTAAGGCAAACGGGAAACTAGGCGACGGGGGCCAGGCCTGCGTTTACCTCCCATAACTAAATACCAGACTCCTGGCAGGTCTACTCTGTCACTTGCGGCCTTGCTTTTTAGGGCTTAATGGTGTGTGGTGGAGGGTTGACATGTGCTTCGGTCCCATCCCGAAGCTTTACACACCTGGACGTTGGACCAGGCTACTCTTGCTCGGGGACAACACGCCGGGCTCTCGGGTTCAGTTTACGGCTTAACTTGGAGGGAGAATGATGCATCGTAGTGCGATTCTAGCCCAAAACCCTCAAAACACGAATCCGCGAAGCTGCATGGAGGTATGGACACTGTGGGTAGTACACTTACACCGTATCAGTGCAGCAGTATAGGCAGTAATTATGACGACACAAAGGCTTTGCAGATTGAGAAGACACACCAGTGGCGTTCCATGTAGAAGCCGCCCAAAGGATGATAGCGGAATAGAAGTTCAACATCCCCTTGAGCGAGCAGGGCTTGTAAGTAAGGATACCCGAAGACCTAAGCTACAGCCAGTTTTGAGCTTCTGGGCCTCTGAACCACGGCCCTGGAGGGCCTTGACGTAAAGCCAAAGCCTTAAGAATTGACATCCTCAGCTCTCAGCGTGGTTGGAACGTGGGATTTGATTTGGGGTTCTTTGCGGTTCTCTGGGGCGATGTGGAGTTGGAGATGCATTGTATGAGGATTCTTTCGGCCTTTTGTTGCCTTTCGACCTTTCATAAGGGCGATATAGAGTGTTCGGTTCAAGGTTTAGGGCTCGGGGTGCTGGGTTTTAAGGCATGGGCCTGTTTGGCTCGGAAGCTCGAAGTTGAGGTTTCTGGGCTTAGGAGTGTAGGATTTACTGGTTGGGGTGGCCTGCGGCACTATGAATTGTTGGAAGACCATGGTGTAGTAATCGGAATAACTGGTAAGGACATCCCCTTGCCTGACAACCCCATTCTTAACTAAAGTATGAAAAAAACCAAACCGCCCTCTTCTGATTCTCAAGTTGCCTATGTTGCAACCTTAAGCCCTGCAGGCGAAAAGCTCAAAACTGAAACTTCAGATTCCCTAAAAACTGAAACCCCAGATACCCTAGATCCTAAGCCTCGAACCTATGAAGGGTTTAGGGGCTTCGGGTCTTTTTAAACTTCAACCCTGACCCCAAACCACAATCCATATACACGCCGATCCTGAAAGACACCTCACGCAACACCCTACAGAAGCACTACAGCAGCCTGCACACCCCTAAACCCTGAACGCTACATCTGGAACGCCCAAACCCCTGAATCCCTACACCTTGCCCCTAATACTTCAAACCTCAAAGCCTTAAAAGCAGCACTTTCCCAAAAGTTGCCGTTGCGAGGTCTTACGAGACGGGCATGGTAATGAGCGCAGTCGTGTCCAGAGCTGTGCAGACAATGAAGGAGCCATCGTTTCCGGGCCATTTAGGGTTTGGGGAGGGTGTAGGGCTTAAAGCTTTTGGGGGTTTAGGCCTTCAGGGCTTTAGGGTTGCAGATTTTTGCAGGGTTTTCGGGTCCGCGCGCAGGGGTCAGGACTCGACCTAGTTCCGGGCTCAGGGCTTGGAACGTTGGAGTTGGGGTGTCTATAGCGGTTTCACTGTTTGACGAATTTCTTGAATTTTTATTTGGCTTTACAGGGCTTTATAGGGTGTTGGTTGAGGTGTTTATCTTCCATCGGCTTGGAGTTCTTAGTAACGGGATGTTGAGTTAAAGCTTTCGATGAGTATTCTGTCTGAGTTGGAAGGAACAATGCGGGAGGAGGAAGTTTGATAGTCACAGCCCTAGGCCCCAAGCCTTGCAGAAATCATGAACACTCAGCCCTAAATCGGCTGGCAAGAAGCACCCGCTGCTGCGCTTGGCAAGCCAAACCCCAAGCCCTGGACCTAACGTCTATGCATTGTACCTTTTGTAAAATTTTGCCTTAAGTTAAGCTCCAAAGCCTGCAACTGAAACCGCTAAGTTACTAAGCCTTAAACTGTCTCTTCTTTGCCAGGCTCCACGCTGGACCTTTCCGACCGACCCAGTAGGTGCGCCAGGTTTGGATGTTGAATACTGATAATCATGACGATGGTGATAGCAGTCAAGCTATTAATGATACGAGTCATAATCACAATACGGTAATCAGGTTCGTGAAAGGGGCAGTGGTCATAGTAGAGGCCCCTATTCGTAGCTGTGGCCCCCTCCCCACACTTGGGGGCGGGGGAGGGGGCGGGGAGAGGGGGGATGGGGGAATAACATGCTCTTGATGCTTGGTGCTGGTGCTGCATGATGCCGGTTTGCTCTTGGTGCGAAAAATCCGGGTTTTGTTCCCCGGCGCAGGCCATTTTTGCCTGTGTATTTTGGTCAGTCCTAGAAAATTCCCTTAAAGCCACGCTAGTATTTGCCCGAAAACACCCTATATCATATATCTCTACATTGGTTTTGAATTTTTATAGGGGCCACGGAAGGGGAGCCGCAGGCTCTTAGGTCCCTGGCCCCGGGGCTCCCGACCCCCAGTCGGTTTTTCACAGACTGGGGGTGGGAGCTCTGCTGTAACTAGATTTAGCAAAATGGCCTCAACTTAATGCCGCGTAACGATATGAAAGTAAGTATAAAACATGGGTGGGCCCGGCCTGGTGAGGCCCTGGGCCACCCCCCGGCAAGCGGCACCGGGTAACAAAAAACGCACACGAGGTCTTTTTTTGATCCAGTTTTATTCTAGGGCGGCATTAAGTTAGGCACCCTAATCCCGTTCAAAATGGACTGATGCTCACTGTTGCTCGTCTGGGTGGCCCCAATTGCCTCTCGTCCGTAACCTCCGGCCCCCCTCCCGCCCTCCTGCCCCCCTCAAGTTTGTGGCCCTCCCGCTGCCCCCTCCGCACCGTTCGCACCCAAGTACAAGGCGGGGACGTATCAAGATTCAATGGCATGTTGATCCTTCCCAAACCTGCCTCCCTTTCCGAAAGGCCCGGGCCATTTTAGAAAAAACCGAAAACGCACGACAAGGAAGAAGGAGAAGGCGGATGGCTCCGCCCCAAGCCATCTTAGACAAAACTGAAAACGAACGAAAAGGAAGAGGGATAATTCGGATGTCTGACCATCTTAGACAAAACTGAGAACGAACCAACAGGCAGAAGAAGAATTCGGATGGCCCCGGCCCGGACCATCTTAGACGAAACTGAAAACGAGCCAAAAGGCAGAAGGAGAATTCGGATGGCTTTGGCCCGGGCCATCTTAGACAAACAGAAAGCGAACGAAAAGGCAGAAGGAGAATTCGGATGGCTCCGGCCCGGACCATCTTAGACAAAACTGAAAACGAGCGAACAGGCAGAAGGGAAATCGGATGGCCTCGGCCCGGGCCATCTTAGACAAACAGAAAACAAACGAAAAGGCAGAAGGATAATTCGGATGGCTCCAGGCCGGACCATATTAGACTAAACTGAAAACGAACGAAAGGCGGAAGGAGAATTCGGATGGCTCCGGCCCGGGCCATCTTTGACAAACACCGAACAGAAAACGAACGAACAGGCAGAAGGAGAATTCGGATGGCTCCGGCCCGGACCATCTTAGACAAAACGGTAAACGAACGAGACGGCAAAAGAAAAATTGGGATGGCTCCGGCCCGGGCCATCGTAGACAAACAAAAAAGGAACGAAAAGGCAGAAGGAGAATTCAGATGGCTCCGGCCCGGACCATCTTAGACAAAACTAAAGACGAACGAAAAGGCAGAAGGAGAATTCGGATGGCTCCGGCCCGGGCCATCTTAGTGTCTTAGACAAACATAAGTCTTGCACCTCTGGGACCAAGCCCTCACCTCGCAAAGTTCGGGAACTCCATTACTCCAGCGAGGTCTCAGGCATGGTGCCTCGCACGGCTGGCCAAACGTGTTCCGTCGACGCCACCCCAACCCTCGACCCCGCCAAGAGGCACTCCAGCACCCGAGGTCTGCAAGCATGGTGCCTCGCAACATCGTGCGACGACGTTGTTGTGTGGAATCTCAGCAACGCAGCAGCAGCAGTGGTAGTGGTTGTAGCAGTAGCAGTAGCAGCAGTAGCAGCATTAGCAGGAGCAGTCTTGGCAGTAGCAGTGGCAGTGGCACCATCAGCAGGGTAGCAGTAGCAGTAGCAGTAGCAGCAGCAGCAGCAGCAGTAGCAGCAGTAGCAGTAGCAGTAGTAGCACTAGTCGTAGGAAAAGTGGGAGTGATAGTTATTATCCGTAGCAACAACCATGATGGATGGTACCTGCAATGCTACTAGATACCTTTTTCATCGCGATGTCTCACCAGGCCGATGGCTATCTATCATTGCGGTTCAGTGCGCCTTTCAATCCCAAACTCTAAGCCCGAAACCCTGAGCATTAAACAAGATGCCCAAGCCTTGCATAGCGAAAATGAATCCAAAGTTCTTAGTCCTACACCATGTGCAGCTGCCACGGACTTGCTACACCCGGGCGAGTCTCTTCGGCCCATCCACCCGGAGGCCTTTGGGGTTCAGGGCTTGGGATGCAAACATAACTGAAAAGGGTTCCACAGGGATTTACGTTGGGTTATACGACTTTATATGGTTTTGGAGGGCATTCATAATGGTTTCGCGCGAACTCCGGAGTCCCCATTATATAGGGGTCGATCTTGCTTTTAGGGTCTGCATGTAGAACCACTCTTTCCTGAATCAAAGCACGGGAAGTATCAGAATTATCGGTAAATGGCGGTGATCATGACAATATTTGTACAGTACTAGCAGTCAAAGAGAAATCCCACTTGTAAACCCAATATTAGCAGTAATGGTGGTGCTGACCATGCAAGTGATATGTGTGGTGGTGGCAACTGTGTTAGCCGCAACTGTGTTAGCAATGATAAGAGTAGTCATGAGTCCAAAATTACAGTTATGATGAGGACAACGATTATGATGATGATGATGATGGTGATGATGATGATGATGATGGCGACCATGGTCACAACAGAGACAGCGTCAATAAAGACCACAGTGTTAGTGTCGAAACTGCTAGAGTTGATGCCAATAACCCTCCTTTTCGTAGCATTAGTGTGATAACAATGTCATGCAACATCTAAATAATACTAAAGATGCCGATTCCAATGGTGGCAGTGTCAATACAGCCATGGTGCTTTTGATAGTACATGTACAATGGTCGCATGAGTAATAATACTTCTAGCGAGAAACACACCGATGAAAGTTTATGGTCTGAGGCTCCAGAGGGTCTTATGCAGCGCAGGCCATCAAAGTTAAACGGCTTGTTTTCTACACTCACAACGAAACGTGCGGTGCTTCCAGCGTTTGCTAAAGCTCAGTTCGAAGCTAAAGCTCTGTGCGAAGCAATGCTTACATATGCAAGTGCAACGTGTGTCATGCACGCCCTACTTTAGAGCTGCACACCTGCGACAAGCATTTCAACACTCCTCCTTGGAACCTTCCTCCGGAAGAGTTCCACCTTTACATGCAGAGTGTGCTCATCAGCTTCGTTAGTGCAATCACCTGCTGCACAGATGATATCATGCAGTTCTGTGGCTTGCACCCAGACAGTCCTTTGCCGACGCTCCTTTAAACACGTTGGCCTTGCCCGTCGAGGATGCAAGTGATGTAACTACCGGCTTGCTTCACCCATGTCTGGTGAACAAGGGTCTGCGTCCTTCGCAGTAATTGCAATACTCCGTCGCAAACACTGCTCCAGCATTACGCAAACCATGACATTCACGGCTTGTATGCATTTTGCTCCTATGATCAGTTGTTTTCCAAAACATGCTCACAGGAACGCCTTCTGGCACAGGGCGATCAGCATAGACCACCCTTGTTTCAACTCTTGCTTCTGGCTGGGGTAGAGGAGGAGTTTGTGTTGCTGCTGTTCTCAAGGAGATTGTAGTCGAAGGCGGAGGTGGATCGCTCGTTGTGGTTCTCGAGGTTCTTCTCAAGCTGGCAGTCTCTGCTTCCAGTTCTCTTCTTAGTGTCTCTCGGTCCAACTCCTCCTGAGCAGCCGATCTGGCCACGTCACGAAGCTTCCTCAGCCTTCTCTCTTTTGTTGTTTCTTCACGAATGCCCAATGCCCAAGAGCCCAGTTTCTTACCAAGCTCCCACATGCCTACTGCAGCGATGCAAACCAGGATTGTAACCACTGTTAACTCATCCCATCCAGCCAAGGGCACAGTTTTTGTAACTGAGCTTTCGCTTGTTGCTTCAGCAGGTACTGCATGCAGGGCAATGATCACACACAGCGAAACAGCTACTCTCACTTGTTCATTGATCCTCGCCAACGGACCTCCCACAAAACCCCAAAGACTCATCAGCTCTGCCAACCTTGCCTTGCTGTGCAACTTTGTTGGCAAGTCTGCCAGCTGCTTCTGGCCACTGATATGACTCACCAGTAGCTCGCCTTGCTGCACCATGTCGGAAATGAAGGCACATCTGACTTTCAAGTGGCGGGTCCGCCACGAGCCTTGGCATCCCTGTATAAGGGATACCGCAGCACTGTTGTCAACCCACAAGGTTTGTGGTACTCGTCTTGCCACAATCTCTTGCACCAGCGCTTGAATCCCTTTCATCAAGGTAGTCGTCTGAGCTGCTTCATATAGTTCTGCTTCGGCAACCGACATTGTAGCAAAACCCTGCCTTCCACACTTCCAAGCCACGACAGACCCGTTCAGGGTGATGGTTGAGGCACCGTACGAACGCCCTCCGAATGGCGCAAACGAAGCGTCCGAAAACCCTTCTAACACCAACCCTATGTTTGCAATGTGGCTCGTGGCAGGCATGCTTGCTGCTGCAGCTGTGGCTGATGTTGTTGTGGCTGCTGTTGTTGTTTCTGTTGGCTCTCTTCCTCCAAGTTGTAGTTGAACATCCACCGAGGCTGCCAAATAAGCCATCACCTTCAAACCCACGCGGTAAACATGGCACGGCCTTTTCGTCAAAGCTGAAGCCATCATTGTCACAACGAACAGCACATCAGGTCTTGACCTCGTGACCCATAGCAACTCCCCGGTTATCTTCTGGGATCTCTTGAGCTCTTCGGGGGTGTACTCCTCCTGAAGCCCTGTAGCATCGCCTTCCTCTTCGTCGATCAGCCATTCACGAGGACACGGAAGACGAGCGTGTTCTCCAGGTTCAAGATCATATCCCCTCACCAAACTCTCAAGGTAACCTCTCTGGGAGATAAGGAAGTGGCCCTCATTGGTCTGCTCGATCTCCACACCCAGGTAGCGCGTGCCATCCACTGTCCATTCCAGTTGGCTACTTGGCCAATCTTCACAAAGCCAGCTGTGCACAGCCTCGATGACTTGGTTCTCGGCTAAGTACAGCAGGTCATCCACATAGGTCACAAGGACGCCAGTGAGGACGTCAGGGGCTTCCCCGGTGCAATAAAGGATCATCCAGACCTCGGGGTCGACGATTGATGCCTTCAACATCAAGAACCCATCCTTCCATGGCACCCTTGCATTCTTCAACCTTTGCCGCCTGAAGTCGCTCCATACAGCTGGGCTTTCCCTTAGCCCATAAAGGGCCCTGTCCACTTCCCATGCTTCTGACTCACTGGCTCGCTCGGCAAGGACCAAGGTCTTTGGAGGCACAATAGCATACCTTCTCATATGCTTGGGCCATGGGGCTAATAAAAAGGCTCCATGGATATCTGACCCCGCCCCAGCCCAGTGACACGCACTGGCCAACGTTAGCGCGACCCTCATCGAGTCGGCCGAAGCACCGGCCGCATAAAGATCTGCTTGGCTTTGGCCTTCAGGACGCTCTGCGAAATTTCCACATAGGACGAGGCGGCACTTCCGCCTCCATCTCGCCTTCGTCTCCTTCTTCTTGGTAGCATCTGAAGGCTTCGGCGCCGCTCCTTGCTCAGGAGGCTTGCATGTAAAAACCAGCTTGCTGGGAACAATGGTCAGTTCTCCCTTTCTTTCTCGTTCACGGGCCTCTTTCATAGTGATGCGCCTCAAAGTCCCGTTGTCTCCGTCTTTGAACAAAGTTCCAAGCTCCTTGTCAATGGCCGGGACCCAAAGTGGCAAGTTGCGCTTCACCTGATCCAAGGGAACGTTCAAAACAACCTGAAGGTCACTCGTGAGCTCGCTGAGGTGCTTCTCAATATCCTCGATGCCATCGGGTTCCTGGGGGCCTGTTTGCATACCCCTCAAGCAACAAGCAGCGTTGTCTTCCTCCCTTTCCATCATCGTGTCTGCCGTTTGCTCCATCATATCCACAAGCAATTGATGGGTGTGACTCGCCTCCTCGGTGACTTGCTTGCCCATTCTGTGGTACTCCTCCAGCAAGATCTCTTCCTCCTCCAGTAGTCGTCGCAGTTCAAGAGAACGATCTTGTAGTTCTTCAAGTAGGTCACGCTGATCTTCTTTCAGCCTGGCTAGGCCTTCATACCAGGTTGATTCCTCCTCTTGGGAAGGGGGTTCGAAATCTGACCCAATGAACTCTTTCTCCTGCTCCACGTCGCTTTGATCGCCTTGTCGGTCTGGAAGGTTGAAACCCAACTGTAGGAGCTCCTCCTCATCTGCTGCGTCCAGCTTCGTTAAGCGTGGAGTATACGTGAGCAAAACCACTCGATCTCCAGTCCATGGTTCCGTTTGGTGCCAACTGCCAGGAGGAAAGGCCACAGTCTCTCCGGGTTGTAGTTGATAAAGTTTCCCACGTTTCCACTGATCATGGTCAACTCGTCTCCAAACATCATTGTAGCTGTAGTTGTCCTCACTGGCCTCCACCCAAACCTCACCATTGTCAAAGTTGCTCAAGGCCGTCACTGTGTTGCACGTTCCCTTGTGGTTGTGGCTGTCACGATGAGGTCCCATGCTCACATTTTCCACAATCGCCACGCAACCAAATTGGTTCCGTCCGGTGATCTTCTTGGCCGCCTCCACCAAGTAAGTTGTGGTGTTTTGTAACTGCTTTGTTAGCTTCATGACTCCACACACTCCACCATGAACATAGGAGCCGACGTAGAGGGAGCCGCCGTCATTCTTGACCGTCATTGATTTGGCTCCCCGTCTTACTGGCCTGGGCACCTTCTTAAGCTTCTCCCATAGCCTGAGTACACTTTCCACATCGAACATTTTCTCCTCCTTCAGGTCCTTGGCGTAGGCCTCCACCTCATCGTAAACATTGGTGATCAAAGCCAGCCTTGCTTTTGCCCTCAATCTCCTTGAAGGTACTGGTAAGCCAACCTCTATTGGCTCATCATCAGCAACAGCCTCGGCATCAATCAATGCCTTCACGAACATGGCAACTTGTAACGAAGGTTCCATCATCATACCTGACCACCAAGCCATTCTTTACGTCGTTGCTGTAGCCCACAAAACGACCTTCGCGCCATCGAGGATTGAGGTCATAGGATCCTCCAGTTCCAAACACCTTTGATTTCACCGCCACCTTCACACCAAACGCTGGGTCCTTGCTTGTGGTTTGTCCCAAAGCTCGCCTTCGTTGCCTCTCCGCCGAGAACATCATAGCCAACGGCCAACACTCTC